GGGGCGAGGGGCCGGGTGTGCGCGCAGGGCAGGGCCGGCGCGGCTCCCGGGGCGCGGCTGCGTCTGGCGGGGGTGGCACGGTGCTCGGGTAGCGTGCGGATGGCTGTGCCGGCGCCCAGGCGGCAGGCCGGTGCTAGGAGGCTAATAGACCCCCACATGACCCACAGCGACATCTTGATGGAGCAGGTGAGGAAACGACCCCGAGTGGTGCTCTTTCTGCTCCAGATCACTCCGGTAGGTGAGCCCAACAGTTGACACAGCTCCAGGGCTCGCAACCCCAAGTCCGGAATCCTCATTTTGATGCATATGACTGAAGAAAAATGCTAGGGAAAGTGCTGAACCAGGTCTGTAACATTCAAGCCTGCAGCGGAGAAAAGGAAGCACCTCCACGTTTTCTCTCCAGGCCTGTTTCTGTTCTGGTTACTTGGGGCCCTGGTCACCGGGGACTGCAGAGCTGTGGCTCCTCTGTGATTTGGAGCATGCCTTTCATCCCTCACCGGTTAGGGAGACCCCAGAGGATTCTGTCAGCTCCACTGTCGCCTGTTCAGCACAGTTGGGTTTCTTGTCCTTCCTGACTTTTAGGTTCCCTGAAATGGGTATGACAGAAAGCCCTGGGCTCTGAGGTAGGGAGGAGAGTCTGGCAAGGTTGCCAGAACCTCTGCAGCATAGTAGGGAGGGACTTCTGGAGAGGAGGTGCTCTTGCACACCACAGCCCCCGTTCCCAGGGTGCCCATAGAGCACGGTATGAAGAGGCCAGGCCCAGCTCTCAAGGTTCCCCACATCTCAGCCGCTCCCCTCTCAGCCAGAGGCAGCTGGTAGACCAGAGAGAGCGGCTGAGAGTGCCACCAGTGTTCTGGTTCAACCTAGAGCATAAGCTGGCTTTCAGGTCCCAAGTCTCTGTAAGTCACTGTAGGAAGATTATCAGGGTGGAGCTCTAGCCTGTCTTCCCCTGCCAGCACCCTCTTCCCCAGCCAGAGTTGCTCTAATCTGTTCTGCATTTTAGGTACTGATTGTTTTGTGTGTGTATGTGTGTGTGGCTGGCTGGCTCAACCCACCCTGGGGGTGGGCTGGCATGGCATGTGCTGGGGATGAAAACAGCCATCCTTGAGCTTGCCTAAGCAGGCGCTTTAGACCGCTGAGCTAACTCCCCGGCTGTAGGTACTGATTCTTTTCAGAAAGGATATGTCAGCTAAAACAATGTGTTTTTAAGAACTGAACATCCCTCATCCTGTACAGTTTTCTGTTCAGCTGTGAAATGGGCTTATAGAAACCTGTAGACTTGCTTTGGGGCTTAGGTGAAGCAATACATGGAACTTTCCATTTGGAGTTTGGGAAGCTGCTTCCCATCTCAAGTCCTTCAGGACAAACGCAAGAAGAGGGCCTAGAGGTGTCCTGTCATGGTGCAGTGTGCCCCTGCTGCTCTGCTCCCAGGGGGGCACAGAGTCTGCTTCTAGGGTGTGCCACAGCTCCTCCACCGGCCCCCACTGGCACTCCTGGACCTGCAGGCCCGAGCCCTCTACCCTGTACATCGGACTCACCTCTGCAGTTTTCTCTGATGTGACCAGTCTCAGGGACTTGCTTTTTTTTTTTTTCTTTTTTTTTTTGTAGTTACCACTGTATTTATTTTCCTACAGCTAATCTTTCTATAGCTTCAATAAATTTGCCTTAAAGTGAAGTACAAGGTTTGAGCTCGACCACTTGGCCCTTTCTCTTCTTGTCTCCTCCCAGTTCGCAGTGCTTGCATCTCTAAATGGCCAGCATTCTCTTCGATCTGCAGTTGGGCTCCACACACTCAAGCCTCAGCACAACCTTCGTCATGGTAGCCGCCTTCCGGAAGACGGGTTTCGTGTGCCCACTGTAGCCACTCTGCTTCCAGTCGGAGCGCCTCTTTCCTTGGGCGTACAGGGAATCCTTGCCCTTCTTATACTGGGTCACTTTATAAGAGTAATGCTTGCCACACTTCTTACAGAAAGTTCTTTGGGGTTAAGGTCCATTGACCATCTTGGTGGTAGAGCTCTTCACGATGAAAATGAGAAGCCCAGTGACCTAACTCGTTGCCTCGCGCCGCTCGTGCCACAGGGACTTGCTCTTGTCTTTGTTTGCCTTTAAAGCTAAATAAAGATAATGTTTGCTGTGCCAGGTGCTAGATGATCCACCGCGCCTGAGGCAGGCACACAATCCAAAGTTTGAATTCATTTATTTGCAGAGGGCTGTCGGGGCATGGGGCTGCAACACTACAGCCTCCTGTGCAGGCTGTAGTTTCCCAAGTTGGGGTTCATGGGGTTTGGGGAGTGTGGGCCCAGAGGACAGGCTGACACCATCCAAGGCTCACTGCCCTAAAGGATAAGGACATCCTAGGTGCGTTTCTCCTGCAGCACCTCTAGCAGGGTTGGCACCTTCAGTCTTACCTCTCAGACCTCTGAGCCCTCAGGAGCTCTCCCAGGTCCACCACTGGCCAGTGTCCTTGAGACCTGGGTGCCAGGTGAGCCACACATAATCTCCCCGTCCACGGGCCTGCTATTCTCTTTGACAGTGCTCCATCCTGCATAGCCATCCCCGTTGGCCAGGTGGCCTTCTTTGGCTTCTCACAGCTTATGGCAGGACTCCTCTGACTGGGTCTGAGGTTGGGTCTGTTTTGTTGTTTTGGTGGAACCGGGGATTGAACTCAGGCCTTTGCGCTTGCCAGGGAAGCGCTTGTTCCACTGAGCCATCTCCCTGGCCCATGGGTTGGGTCTGTTTGATTGCACATCCCTCCCTGAAATTTGAGCCCTAGACACCCCGCTGGTGCTGTGTTGTGGCCAGTATTCTCTCATTCTGGGGTCTGAACTGTCCACTCCTTGGATGGGACCCTTTCTTGCATAACTTACACATGAGTCATTCCCAGTGACCACTCTTAACAGATTGCCACACACTTAGTTCAAAACAGCATCTGCTGATTGTCGCCTCCCAGTTCCTGAGAGTCACGAGTCCAGCCCAGCTGGACTCTGGCTGTGTCTCATGAGGCTGAAATCTAGTTGTTGGTGCCCCAGTAGTGACTGCTGCTGAGTTCTCCATTGGCCCAGCTGGGTTTCTTCTCGCTGTGCCTGGTTCGTCGAGTCCCACACAGGGAACTTCTGTGGACTCTGCTGTATCCCTCTGTGCTCCCCTTGCTAAGGGCTCAATCCATTAGGCCCACCCAGCTAATCCAGGATTGTCTCCCCATTTTAAGGGCAGTGTTGTAGTGACCTCCATTCCATCTCCAAAGAGGGACCCTGCTGTCCTCCTCAGCTATTTGTCTGCTGAATCACTGGGAGAGCCTTGGGCTCCAGGGAGAGGGAGCTCTGGCTTACTGCCTCTACGCTGTCACAGTGAAAGGTCCGTAGCTCATGTTTGGTGACACCTGGGCATCCTATTCTGGATCCTGGGCTCCAGTCAGGATCCTCCATATTCCCCTTGCTCAGGAGACAGGATGCCTTCACTGAATGTGCTCAGGCACAGGTTTGGGGCCAGGGAGGGCCAGCCCAGACAAGCCAGGGAAGCTTCCCCTCAGACAACATGTGCATTTGCCCTGGTCCTGAAGACACAGCCCCTCTGGCCCTCTGCTTCAGGCCCCACCAGTGCCCCTCAGCCCTGCCCCTGAGTGCAGCACGCTGTCCTCCAGCTGCAATAGTCACATCCCCTCTCTGCACCCAGCCTCCCTTCCGCCTGCTATGGAGGCCCCAGGCTGCCCTGGGAATCCCAGGTCTGTGATTTTGGTGAGTAACCGTCTCTAGTCCCCATCTGTAAGCAAGGAGGTTACAAAACAAAACAATGTATGAAAGTCCTGACTGGCAGGGTTCCTGGCCCAAGGGGGTTGGGCCTTGTTCCTAGAAGGAGGTCTCCGCTCAGGCAGATTTAGGTGGTCCAGTCTCTCAGAGACCTGAGCCCACAGTCTTGGGGCCACACCCTCCCCAGGGTGCTGCCCTCCTGTGTGCTCCTCTGGCTCTCTGGGCTCCTGTGGCTCCCAAGGGCAGCGGTTCACCCCTTTAGCTGCAGCTTCTAGCAGGGGCCAGATGTGCTAGGTGTGTCCAGGAACAAGCACATGGGCGGGAGAGTTGGAGCTGGACACCTGGAGCGTGGCCCCTTCTGTTTGCACTGGGTCTCCAGGAGCTAATGTTGAGAGGCCGAGGCGACATTACATAGGGAACCCATTGGCCCCGGTGACGGGCTCGCCCTGCTGCTTCTGGCTGTCCACGGAGTACTCTGTTGGTCCAGCCGGACTCCCAGCCTGTCTTGTGAGAAAGCTGCCCTGAGGAGCCCTGCTGTGGTGGACGCCCTTGGGACTAAGGCTCAGTTTTGAGCGGCTTTTCCTGGGTGTGTTCATTCCTTAGCCCATGTGTCCATGGCATAGTTAGGGTTTATTTCACATGCACCGTAAAGCTTTCCCTTAATGGCCAGGCCTGAGTCTCCATATTTTTTTCATATATATTAGTGCATTTATAGTACATGGTGCTTCCATTGTGCATGTGGGCCTGGCCCCTGCGCGGCACACGTCTTCACTCCTTTTCTCACCTGCTTCCTCCCCATTTTATCTCCTGATGCTCTTCGCTTTGAGAAAGTTCCGCCTCCAACTCCCTAGTATCCATCTTTTATTTTGCTCCTACCCTTCGGGTTCATCATTCAGGAGAAACCATGGGATATTTTACCTTGCGTGCCTGGCTTTTTTCACTTAACACTGGTCTCAAGCTGCGTCCATTTTCCTGCCATACAACTCAAGTTTATCTTTACAGCAGGTAGTAAATGCCCCATTTGTTTATCTGTTCATTTGTTAATGGGCATAGGCTGCTTCCAAGATTTAGCTGTTAAGACTTGGGCTGCCCTAAACATTCCTTGCTGTACTGGGATGTCTCTGACTCTTACCTCATGTAGAAGGCTCATGAATTAATTTGATGACCCCGAATCAAGCGTCTGCTTTGTGACGGTTGCTGTCCTGGATGCACGACTAACTTGTCCCATGGCTGCTTCTGCACTGCTTCCTCGATTCTGTCACCTCTTTTAAGATGCCGTCTTTGACCACCCACCTCAACTTGTCTTCCTCCTTCCTTGTGTTACTATTTTATTTCTCCTGTTTCTTATATGCCCGCTAAATCTATGCGCACTTCAGAAGAACCTAAAAAATGCAGTAATGTAAACAAAGGGAGAAATCTGATTCTACCATCTAAGAAAATTACTATGAACATTTTACTGTTTTTCTTTCCAGGATGTATGTAAAGGGATATAGTGAACTACATCTGATTCCGCCTTATTTCCTTAACATTAATTCTAAGACTGACTTATTTTTCTGTTTTAACAGCTCTGGATTGTGTGTAGTTGAAGGACTTCCTTAGGCCATGTCAGGGGGCCTGCCCTTTAGTGCAGTTGTTTCAGTGCCTGCTTTAACAAAGCAGTCAGGCTCAAGATGCTCTGGTTCGAACCCAGTCTCTCCCAGGAAACCAGGGATGCCCTCAAGGCATCTTGAGACCACAAAAAAGTTTTGTGTTTAAGCCTTG